CGCTATAACAGCGAATGTGCTCAACTTCAATAATACTCTCTGACTGCAAATCAATTACTCACTGTCTACACACATTGTTCCGTCACGTTGTCACCCTCTTATATATATACCAGACTACCCTATATCTAGTAATCTCCCGACTATTCCCCAAGGTTCGAGAAGTGGCGTGACACTAGTCACGTGACCTCGCTGAAGCAACATACTGATATAAGTTTTACACACATTTACATTTTTATGTTTGCAGTTTTGTACAAGAGAAAACAAAAATTATAAGATTTTTACAAAAGTATGTTCTGTGGATCCAGATAACAGTGTACCAGTCTTAAACTTAAAAATGTTTATGGGTTTTACACTCCCATAATCATTAGTTGTTTATACTTGTCTTATAATTGTAAATATTCAAATGTCTCAAGTAAAAGTACACTTCAGTGCTGACTTATTCTGTGTATTGAAAAAAAACATATTATTCTTAATATTTGTACTGTCACACTTCATATTAATTTTCAGTTTGAGAAATAAAAGAGCTGTATTTTTAACCTGTTAATTTCAACAGCTTTGCACGAAAGAAATCTGCAATTTGATCAGAAGCCATTGTACTTATATAAAGGTTAACCTAAATAATATTAAAGACATTTCATTTATCTGAAGTCCTGTAAATAATTACATATTAAAACTGTTATATTTTTTACAGTACAAAGCAACAGACTTGGTGATTAGAAACCCTGGCAAGGTTGAGCTTGTCTTTACCCCAACAAGTGGAGGAAATCCAGAGAGAACAGAAGTATTCACCTTCAAGGAAGGAGGAGTTGTCATGGGAATGTACAACACAGATGAGGTAATTTATTAGAAAGATTTTATAATATACATACAGTTTATCAAAAATTACTAAGGATGAGTGATTAAAGACATAAGTAACAGGAATACAGCAAAACTCATCTGACACATTTTTAGTAATGCTATGACTAGCTTACAAGACATTATTGATTTAGTATCAGCTGGTCTTAAGAAGAAGAATATAGAATAGAATATTTTAGAATAATACTGGTTTGAATATACTATGGCTTCTCGGCAAATTTTACAGAATTGATTTTGTATTTCAAACAAATGGAAAACAATAGCTTCTTTACAATAATAAAACTCAATATTTTTTCAATTAAATGTTTTTTGTTTCTTCTCTACCACACTTCCACTTAGATATGATTTTGTCAACACTTGTGAAAAAATGATTTATTGATCAGAGTTATTACTACATTGAGAGGTAAAATATCTAGTTTTTGAAACACTTTTGATTTAAGAATTTATCAAATTCATTTTGAGATTTATTGAGTTCCTTTATAAAGTAAATTGTGAAGAGACATTCCAACCGTGTAGAGTTTTATGAACCAAAGAAAAAACTATATACACAAAAGTATTAAATAGAATGAAAGAAAGATATTAAATGTTATAGTTATCCTGCTGTTTACTAGATCTAATAAACATTCTTTTTTGTTTCTCATAAGAATAGAAAAAATTCCATTTTCAAGTTAATGAAAAGGATACAAGCATAGTGTTAATACACTACAAAGACTCAAAATGTAGGATATGGTAGTTTTGTCTAAACCTTATTGATTTTATGTTTATAATAATTGATAAAATTTCTATGCAATGATATCCATGGGTGAAATGTAAAAAGCTGAAGCATAAATATCTTGCTGATTCAGAGTGAACCCAAGGTATGCATGCTGATATGAAGTATCTCGCCTTATTTATAGTTTATATAGAAATGCAGCTCACAATCATTAGGTCTTAAACTGGAATGTTTTAGAAAAGTATATTTTTATAGTCATTAATTACTAGATTCATTGCTAAGCACACCCTGATTTTTACATTTACCACACAAGCATCATAACTACATTATTCAAAAAAAGTTCTCTATTTAATTCAGTTTGAAACTCGTCATAAATGTTTCGTGTTCAACTGCATTCTGTTAAAAGAAAAAAAATAGTGTTAGTTTATGAGTGCATACTATTTTTATCAACAGTCTATCAGAGGTTTTGCTCACAGCTGTTTCCAGTATGCTTTGATGAAAGGGTGGCCACTGTACCTGAGCACAAAGAACACCATACTGAAGAGATATGATGGTCGATTCCGAGACATTTTTGAAGAAATATTTGAAAAGTATGATATTTGAAATAATCTCCGATTACGCATTTACAACAAGTGAAGTTGAAATGAAAAATATACGGATATATCTAACTAAACATTGCCGTGGATCTGTAGAATTTCAAGCTTCCATATCCAGATATGATAGCTCTTTTTACAGATCTTCTGTCTCATTTTTCATGTGTTCAGTTATCCTTCTTCTGAATCTATAGAATTTCAAGCTCCCATATCCAGATATAGTTTTTTTTACAAATCTTCTATCTCATTTTTTGTGAGTTCAGTTATCCTACTCCTGGATCTGTATAATTTCAAGCTCCCATATTCAGATATCATATTTCTTTTTACAAAACTTGTGTCTCACTTGTTGTGAGTTGAGTTATCCTACCTTTTCATTATATATTTCTTTGCACTATTCTGATTTATCTTGCTGCAATCAGTGTGACTTTCCTTCTTCTTGCTCCCCCCCCCCTTTTTTTGTAAAATAAAAAATATGAGATAGAAAATTCAGTTTTGGTTTTAAAGAATATCTTTCCATCATTTACATAATTATAGAAACTGCTTATTGTACAAAGTAAACACTATTGTCTTATTTGTAGAATATTTATTCTATGGATAAGTGAGCTTGATTTAAGTTTTCCATGTGTTGTAAAAAACATCATTTCCAAATTGTAAAGAAAATTTACTTCTGATAATGTCAGGTGGCAATTTCTTATCTTGAAAACTTTTTTAATTATTTTTAAAATAAAAAAAATGTATATGCATATCTTGTCACTAATGGTTCATAACATTACTTCTAACTGATCTTTTTTTTTCTTGTATTTGTTTAAATGTTAGAGAATACAAGAAGCAGTTTGATGACAAGAAAATCTGGTATGAGCACCGACTTATTGATGACATGGTTGCTCAGGTTCTTAAGTCTACGGGCGGGTTTGTTTGGGCTTGCAAGAACTATGATGGTGACGTACAATCAGATGTTGTAGCACAAGGCAAGCATGTATATTTCATTAAATAACATATTTCTAAATTATCATCATTTTAAGTAATTGGTGGATAATTAACATTGTTCTCATAAGATAATACCGAAACTGCTAGTTTAACAGTAGAAAGTTATTGCTTGAAAAATCTTTTCAATGTGCTGGTAAACTTGCAGAGATAATCATGTATAAAGCACTTGTTCTCACAGGTTATGGATCCCTGGGTCTTATGACAAGTGTTTTAGTATGTCCTGATGGAAAGACTGTTGAATCAGAAGCAGCGCATGGAACAGTAACCCGACACTACCGTGAACACCAAAAAGTGAGTGTTTTTTTTTATGTTTGCATAAATCATCAGTAAGTAAATTATTTCAAATTGTTATAAAGATATCTAGTACAAACATTCAGAATAGAGCTAAGAGACCCTGAGTTTAAAACAATTAAATCCTTTATAAAATCCAGTTGAGTCTGCTCAGCCATTACAGATGTTTATGATAATACTAGTATCTTAAGTAGTAAAAAGAAAAATCAAAGAATCTAAAATATTTAGTGTTATTTCTATGTTTTTCAGTTATTAGAATAAATAAATAACAATCATGGCTGGCCAACAGTGTGTAATTAATGATACTTAATACAAAAATATTAAATTGTATGCTGGCGGAAAAGTTTTAGGATACTAGGTTCAGTGCACACCAAATAAACATTAATGTTGTAAATTTAATGATAAATATCACTTTAAAAAATCAAACAATCATTTAATATTAGTCTAGTGTTCAAGTCAACTATATATAAAGAAATGGGTTACACCTTTTTCTTGCTCAACTGTTGTTAAGTGTTTATGACAATTATGTATGGGGCACTTAGGTAATGAAGTTTTTTTTCATTGTGTTGTAATTGCCTGAAGATGCTTAGTTAACTGTGTAAAACATTTTATGTCTTTATTATTAGTATATAGCTCAGAGTAAACCTTGTTTCTATATAAATTTTGAATGTTTTGATTTCCCCTCCTGGTAAAATTTTACTTTTCTAAATTTTTTTTGTGTGAAGATTATTTTTATAACTAAATATATCTTAACTCCTTGACCCAAATGTTTGGGTATGTTTCTCAGGGGTGTTTTATTTATGTTTGTTTGTTAATATCCTGGGAACCCCCCCCCCCCAAAAAAAAAAGCCTAGAGATGTGAGATGAAGTGGTGGTGAGTCATTGATGGTAACCACCAATTGATTTATTACATTGTTATTACACACCCATTCTTATGGTTGGGTAATGTAATCTAATGTTTGTGATTGCCAAGAAAAAAAACAGAGCTGATTACTTTTGTGTGAGGCATATTTTTTAAGCTTCCCAAACAGTTGCCAGATGCCATAAATATAAAACCTCATGGAAAAATCATTGTGAGAAGAAAAGAAACAACAAAAAAGCAAGAATTTACTGAAGTTACAAGTTAAATCTTAAAAAGTCAGCAAATGTACAATCATTGTAGATGTACTAGTGTTTTTAGCTCTTGTCATGATTGTTTGAAGTTTTTTCTAAAATTTCATACCATAAACACTATACAAGATATATATTATTTTGTTAAATCTGAATTTGTAACTTTTTTCAAGTGAAAATAACATAAAACATACTTATATTAACAAGATCTGTTTGTGTTTTTCCTAATTTTGAAAATATTTATACTAACGTATAAAATATCAAGATCAATCACAGGATAAGAAGCTTTTAGTGAATTGAGATAAGGTATACAGTTACAGCCCTTGTAAACAAAAAACTGCATGATTTGAAGCACATTTAATTTCTGCAGTGCTTAGACTACTACTGGTAACATATCCTGAAAAACAGTCCAAGCTCATTAATTTAGGAGCTTGGCAACATTGTTGGCTTCTACTATTTTGGGTTTAGTTTCAATTCCTGCTCTTGTTCATTATAATAGACTTATTTATTGATGTTGTTATAGCAAGTTGATAAGGAAAGGAAAAAAATTTAGAGGTGGTGGTAGGATAGGAAGCAATTGAATTAGCAGTTATTGTTACATTTGTTTTGTTTTTTCTACAGAGTTGTTTAGTGTGATTCAGGATTGGCATTATTCACTCATTTGTTTGTATTAGATATTTGGTTTTATTTCACTGACAGTTTAAAGAAAGATAACAAAAGTGGCAAGTAGTAAAAGATTTTAATTCAGATGTTTTAAGACAAATCTAGTCAAACTATATACTGATGATCATTTTAAATAGTTAGGAATATTTGTACCTACAATACCTGTTGATTGCTGATAAATAGTCCAGGATTTTTGTATTTATTGTTTTAAAAATTTAGTTAAATAATGCCTTGCTCAGATCCATTGTTAAAACTTTGTTCTCAATTTCTAAAAACATGTACCAGCTTGCTGAGAAAACAACAGATTATGAATGTTCTGTAATGACCTAATAATAAGTTATTGTATTAATTACAAAAATCTATCAAAATAATTTACAGTGATAACATGGCATAATTACCAGGCTTGTTGAATATCTATGTATTCCATGTGAAAGTTTAAAACATTATATTTTTAAAATGTTATTCCTATTAATTATGCACTATTTTATTTTCTGTTCCCAAAGGGTAGAGCAACAAGTACTAATCCAATTGCCAGCATTTTCGCATGGACACGTGGCTTAGAACATCGTGCCAAATTAGATGGCAATGAAGATTTGAAAAAGTAGGTCATTATATATTTTCCAAACTACTGTTTTTTGTTGTATTTATATAAAGGTGTTTGATTATTTATTGCAAATCCTTCAGCATAGTTTTGAAAGATGTATATAGAAGCAAAGAGGTATTGTTAGGGCTTGGTTCCAAATGCCTAATAAATAAAGCCTCCTTTATTTGCAAAAATCTTTCATTCTCTGCAGTCTTTTATTAGTTCCATAGTATGCCACCCAGTGGTTCGAATCAAAGAACATCTTAAACATGTTAAAAAAGTTATTGGGTATTCAAAGTAATAGTATAGGTTAGCTCACACAACATCCTCGGAGAGTAATAATGATGCAATTTGTTGTTTATGCCTTGTGTTATTTTTTTGTAATTGTACGTTTATGTTGAAACCTGATTTAAACTACAGTGACTTTTTGATGCTGCTTTTATGTGTGATGAAAATCAATTCTTGTTATCAAAGATTAAAATTTTGTAAGGTTAAAGAAGCTAATGTAGATGATGTAAGTACAGTGAAAGAACAATACTCTAATGTTTCTTACAGAAAGATGAATATATTAGATGTGGTGATGAACTTGTGTTTAATTAACTCATGAATCATTTAATAGTTGCAATATAATTCATATTATCAAATTTTTCTAATTTTTGCATAAATTATCTGATAATTACAAATACTAGCAGAATTACCACCCTACAGGTGGTTGTTTTTCTAACCGTAGTATTCATACCTCATTGAAAAAATTTGTTTAAAGTGAAAATTTTCTAAAAATTGATTATTATTTTTTTCTGGGAAGTACTGCACAGGAAAAGTGTTTGGATTGCTGTTTAGTCATACACAACACATTGCATCAAAATTATTCAATGTACAAAGCTCAAAATTTTCATAGATTTTACTGATATAAACTGTAATATTTTTATATATTAAAAAATGTACCATTTATTGAAAAAATTACATCAATAGAGATATAATCAAACACTTACAGTTCTAGTGAAAGTCGTGTTCTTGTTGTAAGGAGAGTACTTTAAAATTGTGTTCTGTGATAAAGAAATGGTTGTTGCACATACCATAGTTATTTTTCTAATTGTCTGAATCTTGAATACCCAACGTATGAAATTTTTTATGGATTTTTATTTGTGGTGCCATTCAATAGATGGCTCAGGAGTTTTGATTATATACTGACATACATCCTATGTCCATTATAGTAAGATTTCCACACATTACATTTAGAATAGTATCTTTGTACAATTAATATTATTATTATTATTTAGTTTGTTTTTTATTAGAAGTATCCTCAGAATATTATACTTTTGTTTTAGAAAATACTTTTGAATATTTAATTATAGGCTTATCTTATTTCCTGTGCACAGATATTTTCGTATTATTTTATTCCTTAAAAAGTTATGTTTATATGATTTTTAGTGGAATAACACTATTCTTTTGGTATCATAATTAAGTTACAATATATACCAGTGGTGTCTGACAGTTTTTTATAATTGCCAAAATTGTGGAGAATATGTTAACATTTTTGCCACATGACAAAAGAAAATTTACTATTTTTATAGATATAGAGGGGGGAGAAAAATACACAATAATGTTTTCAATTACTTAATGATAGAATTAATGAGAAATCTGACATATCTTTTCATTAAGTAGTGCAGGGAAATCAGGCATAAAATCAGTTAAGCTACATCTCAACTCCACCTCCAAATTTTTGTCCAATATCTGCGACCCGTATTTCAATTTCACCGTTTTTACTGCAGAAAAAGTAAGGTTTCACCAGTATTCTATCCTCAAAATAAATAAAAAACTGGACACTTTTTTTAAACTGGTACATATATAAATAGATTTTATTAAAGATTATATTTAAAAACATGGGTGCTAGAAGTAAAGCACCAATTTGCCACAGGTCAATAGCCATTTTTGCCATGTGGCGTGTGGTGACCGTGTTGGACACTGCTGATATATACATTTGTTTTTAATCTGAGTATAGTGTTTTATTTTTGTTCACCAAATGTTACTCCCAAATTTCTATGATCATTTTACTTTACCAATATTTTTGTCAATAGTCTTGTTGTAAAAACTTTTTATTATATATTTTGTTGTATCAGTTAGTAATGTTAAGTGTCAAATATGTAACCATTAACAGCATTTTAAATCTAACACTTGTCTTTAACCAAATGTACACTGAATTGGTCCATTGGTGTAGGGTTAAATGAATAGTTGATAACTCTGATGTCATATACATAATAGCACTGCATAAAAGGTTGTGGCTTGAACACCCACCTTTATACATAAAGTTAATACATTATAGTTGATTATATTATGCATCTAACTTTAAATCATTTTTCTGTAGTTTTTCTTACAAATTATAAATGCATAAATTTTTTGTTATTAAGTGATTATTTTTAATGATAAGATAATCTGTATTATTATTGCATTATTCAGTACTTTCAAATTGCTTCTTTTTTTTTGCTTAGTAAAGTTTTTTGAATAAAGAATCCCAAATTGACACATAGCAGGATATTAAACATTGTTGAAACATCATATTATAAAACATATTTATTTCTTATTTGTTTTACACTATAGGTTTTGCCATCTGCTGGAACAAGCATGTGTGGACACGGTAGAATCTGGAAAAATGACAAAAGATCTTGCTGGTTGTATACATGGACTAAAAAAGTAAGTCTTCAAAAATTCCAATTTTTATGGATTAAACATCCTGAAAGATTATGCAATTTTTTGATAATGTACACTTTAGTAGTTTTCGTGTAGTCGATACAAAAACTGTTATTAATTACCAATTAGAAATAGTTGAGTCACGTATTAGTTTTCAGTAAAAAAAGTACCTTAGGTTTTGCTATTCATTGTATACTACAATTTCAATCATCATTTCCCTTTCCTTTAACAAACAAGAAAGAAGTATTGCATAACATTTAATTGTATATTAAAGATAGGGAGTTTTATAGGCAATGATTTTATTCTAAAACTTTAAAAAATAGTAAATAGGTTTATCACTTAACTCTCTCACTGCTCAGTCCAAGGGACCGTGCTTGTTATGATTTTCAAACTATAACTTATAATACACAAAACATAGATTTATCAGTAAACATTACAAAGCTTTAGCACACAAAAAATCAGATTTTTTTTTTATTAGGTTTTAAGATTTTTTAAGTAATGATTTAATTGCGCATTTTTTATTTTTGAATGTTGACTATCCAACATGCAAAGTAATTCTGATTTTAAGGCTCAAAATATTTTTATGCATCAGAAAATTGTCAAATTTTACATTCGAAATCTTTATAACCTCCAGATAATTATCAGTTGTTTTTTTTTGGGGGGGGGGTTAATAAAAAAATAATTATATTTTATCTGTTATTTTTATTATTGTATCTCTGTACAGGTTTGGTCAATTCTAATGTAACCAGCAAAAAAAATTTGGGAATAGATATAAGTTACACTTTTTTTTTGTTCTAGAACGACTACAAATTATAACAAGAAACTACAAATGTTTTGACTAAATAGCTTAAATCTCATAACATTATACATCTATATAGATTTATTTCATTGATCTTTCAGCTGTGTCTAACTAACATTACACAAGTTCCAATGATGAGGCACACGTGCTGTCATGTTACCATATATACACCTGGAAAAAAGTTAAGCACCCCCAAATATTTTTCAGGATTGCTTATTGAAAATAAGGTTTAATTTTCATGATGTTGAGCAGTGTTCATAATTTCAAACATAATTAAAAGGATGTGAGCGTTCAGGTGTGACATTTAAATCAGGCGCGTTTTTTTCCCCACGTGCAACTTGCTCACTTCTTCACGTCCAATATGT